TGATTAACGCGTGCATGCCTAGTTCTTCATATTTATCTTTTATCTAGTAAATATTATTCTATTCACAACTTTTTGCATTATCCACACGCCCCCTCGTGTAAATCAACTCTCATATTAAAGTATACGACGTTGGGTTGTATTAGGTTACATTACTTTAAGAGAAATTTGTTTCTAAGTTTGCGTTTTAGATAAGAATTTGGATAACTTTGGATTTGCTATTAATTTTATTCGAATTCCGTATAAGTATCAGGGGTAGTTATAAAATCACCAGGCGGAATTAGCTCCCCCCTCGCATAGCGCTCGCACCCGCTTTGAGGTGATTACTGCGCTTCCTGTAGTTGAATCAGGTGTCTTTTGCTTGGAGATTTTAGCATTTGAGTTTGATTTTAATGAGAAGCTGGCCTTTGATATTTCAAAACGGAGTTTCAATCACAGTGCGTCAAGTCTGTGGAATAGTCTTCCGACAGAAGCCAAAAAAGCTGCTTCAGTTAGCCACTTTAAGCGTTGTATCGCCAGTTTTCATCTAACTTGTTGTGTAAAATAATTAACATGCATGCCTAGTTCTTCATATTTATCTTTTATCTTTAATCTATATATAGTGAATATTATTCTATTCTCAACTTTTTGTATTATTCACACGCCCCCTCGTGAAAATCAACACTTATTAAAGTATACGGCGTCGGATTATGATTTATTAGGTATAAACCTTGAATGCGCTAAAAAGCCATGCCCCCTCAATTAAACTTGAACACGCCAAAAAGCCATCTTCAATTGAACTTCCTGAGTGATTAATTTTGCCTAACATGCAATTAAGCCGTAGTGTGTTTACCAGCGTGCTCCATGGTGATGGAGAGAATTTATTTCAAATATTCAAATATTTATTTCAATATAATTCACATCCCTTATTTATGTAGAGCTATAAAGTTCCCATACCAACTATTGCGATGAATCAATATGTTTAAGTTAGTTACTACCAGAATTTCGCATAACATGCAGTATTATTAAACGGAGGGAGTTGAAGAATCCAAATTTGAATACCTCGAAATTATCACTATAGTAATTTCCAGCCTACAATTGGTGCAAATAAAATATTTATTGGTCTCGCTTGGTTCAGATTTTACTTCGTTAAATAAACATCTTTATTTTAATTATTTCAACTGCTTATATTTACTTTATATTGCCATTAATTGTATTTTATTTGAATGTTTTATTGTTGTAATATTACTCGTGTATTCATCCATCTAGCTAATATTATTTCACTTAGAATATTGTTATTCTTTAGAAGAATTGCCATATCTTTATTATTATATTATCAATATAACCAGGGAGCAGCGTGGCAGCGTCTTTAAACAACTTAGCATCAAAGGTGGTATATAACAACTGCCTAAATAGACAAAACACTAACTCTCCTGACGAAGGCCCTCAGGTCGAAACGTCGAGAAGTGTTTTGTCTATTACGCTATCAGTTAAATTTTTCCCATGCTATATGCTCTAACGTAGTTACCTACTTCCAATAACATTTATTTAATATAAAAAAACTTTACTTAAATAAAATAACAAATTAAATATGAAATAGCAATTAAATGACCAATAAGAAAACATCATTTGAAATTACGGAACACCTTTGAGCTAAATTATGAAAAATTATTTACCAGCTCGACACAAAATAGTTTAATAAAAAGCAATTCCAATATCAACCACGCCTTCTAGCTTTATTTGCTCTAAAATACTGCAAGTTTATCTTTCAAGTCTGGTCCGTTAAAATTTAAAAATGCTATTGTTCATCAGAACATTGGGCGAAAACTTCAACAACTGTCGGCACAACGACGTGGGAGAAGGGAAGAACCCTCTTAAAATCTTAGAAACTTGCATAAAGATTTATTTTGAATTCGGTGAGAAAAAAGTAATAATTGTGTATAATAATAGTCATTAAACCTTTATATTGTGAAGTGAATTGCCGTTTCTCGATATCTTGCTCAATTACTTTTAGGTATGTTCGCTCTCTTTTACACATATTTAAAAACATTGAACATATTTTCTGACCAAATTTGATTATTGAATGCCTGATATTGTATCAAATACATGCGCAAATAAAGTTTTGACCTTATAATGCATGCAGCAATTCAGTAAACACATGTAAATAGTTGACATGACTTCTTGAGTTTTGTTATGAACTTAGGAATTGCTTTTCAATTAATGTTTACTATAAGTTTTAGGGAGGCCTGTTTATCTAAAAGAAGCCTTTTCACGCATGAAAGGGTACTTTAATGTTATGGATAAGACAAAGATTTTTATATATAGTCTTTATTTGTCTACTACTACCCGGCGGAGGATCCTCGAGTATCATTTATGTACTTGTATTAATTGCATGCATGCACGTAACAAGTGAGTCTTTTACGTCACAGTTTTCCCACCTTGTTGCTGTTTACGTCAAAGTATTGCACCTAGAAGATCGCATTTGATTTACTCATAATTCAAATTTTTTGAAATGCATACTGGCAAAAAAATTATTTATAAAACCTGATAATTTATGGCGGAAATCTGAATTGTTTAAAGAAAGAACGCCCATGCAGCCTATACATTAAGTATTTTAAATTTTGATGTGGGTGGTTTTTACTTAATATTACAAAGGATTTTGTGTAGGATGAACAAAAAACATCTAAAGAGGTTTAAGTACTTGTAAGAACTAAATTTATATTATATCTTGTCGTGCATTTTTAAGGGCAGTAACATTCTTAAAATCGTCATAAAGCGTGGTATTCGCCTACAGATCAATCCTAAAAATATTGATATAACCGACCTGTGGCATACAAGAGGTAAGTGAACAAGTTCTGTTATAACAGATTCTGTCAGTTATTTCATAAACAGACTAACTGTTATAATTCAGGATAACGTGCAAGCTTTTTCGCCAGTTACTGCATGTTTCAACCGTGTTTGCTATAAAAATAGAAAAACAGGACATCAAAATGGGCCACTACGAAATGAAACGATAACTGTAAGATATTTGTGCATTTTACCGCGGCCTATTTACGCTTAAATACGTATATTGAAACCTTAGATAAATACCGATTTTGACTACATTTTTGTGAGCAATACTAAAAACCTTTATCCATCGTTTAAGGAGGGGCATGCAGAAGGTCATTGTCATCCTGACACAATCTAGAACCTTCTTTTTGATACATTAAATGAAAGGGTCTTTCCAAAGCGATTGTGTGAAAAAGTGTTTCAATGTTCTGCGTATCAGGCACGAACGTTGTATCCAAATCGTATAATCTGGCTTATATAATTCGGCACACAGTAAAAAAGTTTACAAATATTGTTTTCCAGTCGAGTGTTATGTTTTGTACGGAATGTTATACATCAAGGCCCGATCCATGCCTTAGCACTTTGGTTGAAAGAAAAGTTAAAATTTCTTTAGGATAGATCAAAGGAACAAAACCTTTAATTTCTGCCGCCACAGACTTGTAGTCATCGGCAATGTCAGTATTAGACATATATTTTAGTATACTAGAGCATAAACAAATTTGATATAATCATAACGTCGAACGACTGCGGGGAACTAGGTTCATAATAGGGCTGTAAATTGCCCGACCTGTATATCGTGTTACCAACGTATATAACATGAACGATACACGTTCATCTTGTCTCGCATCAGGTTTGTACATTCATAATGATGTTTTAATTTGAACCTTGAATACGTGCTTTGCATGCCGTTTTACAATTTTCCGAGTTAAGCACATTGTCACATATGTCGGCATTGCAGCAGGCAGTCGCAGTCTATGGGAGATAATTAAGACCAAAGAATTAGCATAAATATTATTCCATTAAAAATATTTCTTCCGAGTACCTAAATCAAGTTAACAAAAGGACTTTGTTCGATGGGAAAAGACCGATGAGAAAAATAGTATGTAACAGTAAATTTAATCTTTTTGTGTATTTAGATTGTATGATATTTAGGCGGCTCGAATTATCATTTGCGTGCACCAATTTTGCACCTCGGAGGACTACACCTTGCTGCAATACTCGCGAAAATGTATTCCCTCTTAAAGGAAGGGGGGAGGTATTTAATCAAACCATACAAGCCCAATATAACAAGAACTAGTCATATATAACTAGGACATTTCTCGCGCACGCAATTACATCATAACGTGGACGAAAAGTCGTATTTCACCTCATGACCTTGGAGCAATTAATGGTAAAATTAATACATCATTATATTTGCAATGCTGATTTAGACAAATTATGACGAATAAATCGTTTGTAAAAGGTAAAATTAAACCTTCAAAGATTGAAAAGATTTTATTTCTAGAAGTATATGTATACATATAGACGATATAGTTACGATTGCAAATGTAGATCATACTTGTCTATAAAACATCTCTCTCGGTAATGTACTTTGTGAAATTCATGATAATCGTTTCATTGTAACAGTATAAGGTATCGAAAAAATAAAACCAACAGTGTTTAAAACTGATATTTATTAAAAATATCTATCAAAATCTTATTTGCTACAAACTCATTTCACAAGTTATCTCGCGCAGCGTGCTCGTGATAGTATTATATGCAATACAACACGGCCGCTCGTGTCGTAAACGATACTTATTCACTAGAGGGCACATGCGTAACGTGATTATATTAATTTTGGGGATGAGAGGGGTTAGTACCTATGTTACTTACGCTAGAGCGCCCTATTACCCACAAACTTTGTGTTAAACCATGGAAACTAAGGGTGTGGCACTCCCTGCCACATACACACAAATTTGCGTATTCGTTCGGCGTCAACTTGGTATGGTGAACTAGAGAAGATTGTTTTCTAAAAAAAAATGCATCGCCTAGAAAATTTTTCAGAAAAACCGATAACGTTACCTAAATAGCTGCAAAAATGATAGCGATTTTAAAAACTATATTGATTATGGAAACCTTAATTATAAGTAGAATGCATTGTAGCAATTATCTTATTTTTTAGCTCTTGCGACGATGTTAATAAAATACTCTATATTGTTGGGACTTCTATACAGCATGGCTACAGGGAAGCAGTGTTTAAAGGAAAATCCTAAGCCTGGAGGTATTTCTCTTTCAGATGATGTGTAATTAATTTTGTTTAAATGCATAATATTCTATTCAACAGAATGAAGAAATATCACAGATAGAATTAAATTATTCCATAATAACATGCAGTACTGTCCAGAAATAACTTAAACACTGCGATTGCGGTTAGGTTGAGGTTCGGTCGTGGTTCGATTGCGGTCGACCAATACACAGACGACCGCAAGGGAAAAATACGATCGCGGTTACCGTTCACTTCCGAACGGAATATTAGGGAGGTTAAGATCGACTTCCGTTACGAGTACTGATACCAATATTCAGTCACGCGCATGCGCAGACGTAACAATCGTCCAAAATGTGATAACACCGGAAGTCGCGAGTACCGTTTTGGGGCTGAAAATGGAAGTGGATAGGTAGGCGAAGTACCGAATTATATTTACTGTATTATTGTCATTTCCTGCAGTTTTTTCTAATAATATTATTTAGTCTTTAGTTGTGTAATGTTTCTGCTTTGTTTGTTGAGACTTAAGGATTGTGATTAGAGTTTTTGATGTGAATATAGCCGCTATACTCCGCCGTGTTTATTTACTTCTTACGGAAGTCACAATCTTAACGCTTTAAAGTTTCTGCGCTGCCAAACAGTAATACGTCATGTATTTTTGTATCTGTACTGGTAGTTGAAGTAGATCTTAACCTCCCTATTATAAACAGCTGAGGACAACACAATAATCATATGGAGGACATCTTAAGAAATGTCTGTCAAACAAAGTTAAGCCGTGGTTAAACCTCCGTCTCACCGCGGTTCGACCTTGATCTGACCTCGGTTCAACCGTGATCAGACCGAAGTTTGACCTGGGTTAACCGCGGTTTTTGTTAGGTTATTTCTGGACAGTACTGTCATTATACATTTTACCGAGGTGCATTCGCGTATGCAATATAGGTGTATAAAAAGCAAAATAATAGGGTAACTAATTGTATTGTTGTAAATGAACATTGCTTTGCATTCTTTTCTGTTGATATTTTTAGGCCATGTTTTCTCAATTTATCCAGTGACGTCGCCAGTTTGATAAGTGGGGGAGATTTATTCATATATTCGTGTTTTACAATATTCATTTTTTTCAAATTGATTGTTTTAACGGTCTGTGAACATGAATATATGAGTATGCTCACCCCACTTATCAATGCTGGCGACGCCACTGAATTTATTGAATAATAAGCAATTAATATACAATTTCAGATTTCCACCCTAATATTGAGTTGGAGGTTATAACCAAGGACAGTTATCCGCAAAACAACGGCTCCCATGTGACGGTGCGGTGCAAGGCTACTGCACCAGTTTTAAACTCAAAACTGTATAACCCTGCTCTTCTGAACCCCACCGTTATTTTTTTCTTTTTCAACGAAAATCACGTGCCTGTCCAAAACTGCCCACCTTCATCGGGAAGTCCAGAAAAGATATGTGAATTGGTTATTCCAAAATTTGGACAAGCGAATAATGGGAAATATTATTGCATGGCACGAAATGAAATACGCTGTACAATAATTGGAGCACACGTTCCTTCCAATCCGTGTCCAGGTAAAAATCTTCTGTGATTTATCAAACCTTTAGACATTACTTAATTTGCATGCTATATAAAGAATACTGAATTATTAACTTTGGGTTTCTATCAACTAAAGAGAGTTCGAGAGTTTTTACAGATGAAAAAGCAACTTGGTTAATGTCATTAATGCATGTTGATAATTACTATATCGTGAATTTTATACACTCCTTTTTATTATGATTTAGCTCCAGGAGAAAAAGAAAAACTTGCACTGGATTCTTTCCACAATAACCTCCTGAAAACGGTGAGTTGAAAACGGTGACGTAATTGAAATATCATTTTCATCGCGATAATTTGCAAAAGAAAAACACTCTCTGCTTTATTACATTGCATGCATGCTTTATTCTTTCCAAAATTTTATAATTTTCTGGAAATATTGGGAACTGAAATTGCTTAGCTCTTATCTTCTAACTAGATCTAGTTAAACTACGCCATGCATAAAGGATGAAATTAAATACTCCCACTCGACACGCAAATTTATAAATTTAGCCATTTTGAACCATAATTATGCCGTATGCCGTTCGAACATGGATTTCCTTAATTCGTACGTATACGCGTTTTTTCAGAAATCTGTCGGCCAGAACAGAAAAAAATGAATATTTACACCGCTCCCAAATTATTGCTTGAATTTCGGAACATGCGCGAAGTCTCTTCGAAAGAATTAAGATGAATATTTTTAGTATTTTCGTTTAAATAATTATCCGCATGATAAGTATCATAAATGTAATCAGTACATTTTATATTACAATACATTTTATTTTACATATTTTTCCAGATGAAATGCCTGAAAGACTATACACTTTGCTGCATCACTGGATCAATGTGCGATGAAAGTTATCAACAATGTCTACACAGTGCTTAAAATACTAGTTTATATACATTATGACAGCTCAAATTTGGATAGATTAACATAATGATCACAAGCTTTTAAAATATTTCCATTGGTACATTTGTCTTGAATATTATAAATTAGACTTCCTTTTGAAATTCACATAACGAAAAGCATCGTTGGTCATGTACCTGGAATTGAAATTGTATTCCGGATCCAGTCGTTCATTTTGAGGTTCTATATCGGTTTTTGACTTACACCGGCAGCAACGAATTTATTATTATTTTTTTATTATTAGAGTAATATTTACAGAGGAAGCTCCCATCACATAAGTGGTTTTCAGGGAGGTCCTGTTGAACTATAATTACAATAATACATTACGTACAGTATATTACATTGAGAATCACAGTATATGCTAGCAATAGTTATAAATATAAAAACAGTTTTCAACAATTCAATTGAGAACTAATACTACGTTTAAAAGCAGAGAAACTATCAATTTCTCCTGTAGAACGCGATAAATTATTCCAATCCTTAAAGATATATAACTCTTTGCTGTCCCCAATTACACTGACATGCACATTTCGGTCAAGCGTTCAATTTCCCAAACATAAGCGCGACGCGTTAGTATAAACAAACCACGCATAGTAAAATGTTGCGCAACTGACACAAAACAACTAAAAATGACGGACTTCAAATGCGTCTGTATGCCGCAAAATTACATTTCAAAACGTGGTCTATAGTATCTTTTAATATGCGAAATCCTCCTGGCTATGACCGGTCACGTATAAAAGAAGAAAGGCAAAAAACTACAAAATTTGGCCATATTTTGCGGTAATTTGAGAGAGATATAACCCCGCGTAATACGAACCTATCTTGTTAGCCATAAGTTTTATCGGAATTTCTCTGCATGTTTTTCACCTCGTGATGGATCGCCGTTAACGCCGCCTAAAAGTAATGGACCGGTGAAGATTCTTCTCAGCCAATAACATAGCTCCATTTCACCGGAAGTGACGCTTGTCATATAATAATAACATATAAACGCGGATCAGACGACAACATTGATTTGATTGATAATTGAATAAATTTTGAATAAATTTGCCAATATTGAGAAACTGAAAAAAACGCGTAGTCAAATGCAGACTAATTAATTCAGTTAAAACGAATTCCATGTAATTCAACGATACTTTTTTATATATTCCAATGTACAGTAATGACGCACATATATTTCATATCTAGTTAAAATGGGAAAATAATTGAAAATGAGGAAATGAAAATAATAGTGTAAATAAATTTCAGTTGTATCTCAGTGTGAAAACTTGCATTAATGTATTACGGTTGTTATCGTGTCTCTATACCTGGTGCGAGAGATCATACACTTGCTGATCACCAATTTCAATAGAATAGCTATTAATGAATGCACTTGGGCAATCATCAATATGGTGTTTGCAAGTTTTTTCTAAACACCGTAGGTATGTTTTACTTCACAAAAGAATTTTTATACTCAGTGGCCTTTCTTTTCTAACATTGTAAAATACCATAGCAGGAAATAACTTTTTAGAGAGCAATATAATATGCATGGCTTCCCGATTAAACTTTCTATTTAATTTAGGACTGTACCCAACGTTATAACTATATTCTTACCTATAATTACTAATTATATTCTCAAAGTACCAAGAAGGGCGAAATGCCTTAACATTAAGTTTTCACGGACACAATATTTACTGCTATTACACATATTTACTGCATGACTTTTGAAAAACGTCTGCGGCGAGGCCTTTTTGTCAAAATTTTTCTATATGATTAGCCCAATAATAACTTACGTGCATGTATTAAATGCCGTTTGTGATAATATAATTCGGTTTCATGGAAGATAAAACACTTCCACTTCAGAAGGAGAGAATTTGCGGGCTCCTGCCAGGATGGTCTTTCTGTCATTGACGTAGTGTGGAGGTTCATAACTGCTCCCGAAGTTAGTGTACGAAGAGGTAGAAGAATGAGCGTTGTCGGCGATGTAAATATCATGGCCTCCTCCTACTGCTGGTCCATACATGTAAAAAGGATACATTGCGTTTTTACTATTTTCGTATTTCAATGGAGCTTTAAAAGCCGCTAGGCTCTCCTTGTTGCGTAAAGAGAAAATAAAAGAACCCGGAGCTTGTTTGTAGCCACTTCCTGTAAATTAAAATATTAAAAATATTCAAACGCTTCTACAATTCGATTATTATCTTTCTAAAAGTTTTTCGATATAAACTTGATAACTCCAATAATAATAATATAGCATTACTATTTGACAGTTTTGCATGCAATATTACCATCCCAGGACTCGGTAACGTAGAAACCAAAGACATATTGACCAACTTTTATGAAAGTCACAGTTGGTTTCTTGTTATCACATCTTGTGTGGAAGGTAGCTGCATCCCATCCGTCTCTACTTGCTCGCCAACAAAGCTCTGCGGAATCACTTCCCACGATCCATGTTTGTAACAATTGTTGATGCTCGTAAACTTCTCCAGATAATATTTTTGACTTAGAGAAAGGATTTGGAACTGAAAAATTGATGAAATTAAAAAACAATTTCTTATATTATACAAAATTTGTGTCCATTTTTTTTTAATTTTGATGAACACATAGTACACATTGTATATTGAACACATTGTGTACATTGGACACATTTGACTTCCACTCTATATTCTTTATGAAAAATATCCAGATAAAATTAAACTCAAATTTCCCGCGAATTACCTACACATGCAGTTTATTCTTATTTTAATTATCTCTAATACCATTTAGATGGTGTATGTTAGGCCCTGCATGCTTAGACTATACTGGGTGAGCATGCACAGCCGCGAGAAAAAAATAGGTATGTCAAAGCCAGTTTTATCCTAAAAGTACAATTATACCATGTTTCCCTCGACATGCTCAACTAAATGTTTGGGGACAGAGACCCATGTCGTGACCGTGTTTATCCGGCATAGCGCGGACGGGTCTTAGCGAGGTGCATACACCCACTCATTACATGCACTTTTTGTCTATAACATTAACATGGCTATTGAATTTTTTTTGTCATGCATCAAAGTCATGTATTTTACTCACGTTTTTCACAAAATTCTCCTTCGTATTGCTTTGGACATTTACACTTGTAGGGATCTGATCCAGGTCCATCATTCAGATGAATGACTGTTTTTCCACCATTTTTACAATTTTTTATCTTATTGCAGGGGACCTATCAAAATTGGCGTGTGTTATACTAGAAGCTATATTCCACAATAGTCGTGTTTCAGTGAGAATATGCGAAGCAATCACATCAGTCATAATCCAAGTCTGATTTACATTTTTTCTTGCTTTATATTTCATTTTCAGAGCGATGTGATCTCCCATATTTTTTGTGGGATGGTGGAACCCTTTCCTCTTTGCTTGTGGAGGGATCAAATTTGGGATAGCCTCATGCATGCCCTTAGCCAACATATATAGCACTGGTGATTCACCTTCTACTATATAAGACTGAGCTTCTCTCTGTAAGTGCGGTCAGTCAATAGGTAAAAAAAGAACATTCTGAATTGCAAAAACTTCTTTGTTTAGATCAAGTGTTACGAGGAAAATTAAATTCCTCAGGAATTCTTGATTTCTCAATACTATACAGGTTAGCACAGAATAGCGAAACTCGTTTACTACATAAACGTCTACATATATAAAAAGTATTATGGATAATATATACATAAACCATCACAGCGTAAAATAAATCACCTGTGATTACCTTTCTACGACCAAGCAAATGATAAAACACCCAGCCTTTGTCGTCTTTGTTACCGTTGCTCATGTTATACGTGAGTGCGTGTGTTAACTGACAGTTAAAGCTTTTTTTCTGGAGTATATTTTTAAAGTTATATCCAGTACAAAAGGGTTCCTGCAAACATTTCTGAGCGCAGTTTCCTGACAAATTGTACGTCGTTTCAGATATACGAAAACTGGTTGGTATTGAGCAAGCATCTAAAATCAAAGAATAAATACTACGGTAAACTATTAATCAATAACAAGCTGTTTTTTTAGAGTCCCAATTGCATATAGTTAAGAATAGACTTTTAAGAATCATAAAACAACGATGTTAGAAAGACAAAGAAAATTTCGGCTTCGCGCGAAATGTTCTGCCATCCGGAAAACAGGCTTATTAAGGCCGACACAGACCGGACGCGAAGCGGCAACGCGGCGCAAATTTTCAGTTTTCAGAAGCATATAAATTAAATTCTGGGATTAAAATTTAGAATCTATGGACGCTAGACCAATCAAAATTTATTATTTTAATGCCATTTACAAGAAAATTTTGATAAGTTAAAATTTATTTGCTTTTGAAAAATATAAAACGCTGAAAATTCGCGCCGCGTTGCCAATTCGTGTACTGTCTGTGTGGGCCTTAAGTGATCGCCGCGACTATGAGGAGCACTCACGATTGCAAGATTGATTACAATCAATCTCAAATTAAGATACCGCGGATTGATAATTACACTGGTAACTACAGGGCGTATAAAAAACCTGCAGCCCTAATAAATTCCCATGCAGGGGCCTAAGGTCTTTTGTTATTGAATAGAAGCGAACATGCATATACGAATATTAGGCGGTTGCAGTTTTTTTATACACCTTGCAAATCTCACCCAAACAGTCGCTCCCTACAGTTTCTCGAAATTTTAAAATGCACATTTTCAACAGGGACATTCAGCATCTAAACGTTTGACTAGAAGACTAAAATTTTCTGGCAACATACCAAGAGCCGAAATCTATTAAGAATTTGTGCCTGGCAGTCGTTTCTTTAGCAATAAAGACGTTTCAAAATGGCGCTTAAAAAGCATTTAATTGAGTTTATATCGAAAACGAGTTCGATGACCCCAATTTTTTTTCATCAATATGTTGCACTATTTATTCTTTAGCGATAGTAAAGTTTAAAAAAATTCTGTCAAGTGCGATTTTTCAAAGGGCTGAAAAAACTTTTTTTGCATTAGAAAAAAAAATGGCACTAGACAAAAATTTTTCAAAACTTTACATGATGATAAACCATCTATTAATAGTGTAAAATTTTGATGAGGAAAAAATTGGGGGTCACTGAACTCGTTTGCGATATAAACATGATTAAATGCTTTTTAGCGGCAATTTTGAAACGTCTCTGTTGCTATAGCAACCAATGCCAGGCACAAGTTATGAGTAGATTTTGGCTCTAGGTATGTTGCTAGAAAGGTATATAAATTTTATTCTTCCAGTCAAACGTTTGGATACTGAATATCCCCGTTTGAAATGTTCATCTAAAAATTTCGAGCAACTGTAGGGAGTCACCTTAATAGAAGTATAAAAAAATACAGCAACCAAACGGCAATCTTGTAAATCAGTATTGTAAGTAAGTTCAGATAATTTAGTAAAATGCTGAGGATTCTATCGTTTTTAAATAAATTGAATATATCTACCTACCTATCTATAAAAAAAACTTTACCATGCATGCATGCATGCTACTCTTAACGAGTTTTAGAGATTAAGAATAATTTTTTTATAACGGGTAATACATTATAGTTGACTGTTTTATTTTTGGATAAATGCACCTCTTAGACAAGTTTACACTCATTGATTGATGTCTGTACGACATTGTTAGTCAATCGACATAAACATTTGCAATTCCATTTAAAAAATATTAACATATATTATCTATTATTAATAATTTCAATCGTAGATTAAAAATGAATGTGCTTTTTGAAATTATCCTCTGCCGCCCATCCCACGTTGCGTTGTGCCGTATATGCTTGCCTGCCTGCCTGTCGTAAATGCTTGCCTGCCTGCCTGCTATTATTTTTATACTATAGATGGAGCATGTAGCACGTGCACGTTGGTCATATTCGGCAAATTTTCTCCCGGTAAAGAGGGCTCAGTTTTCCAGCGGTCTTCGCATGAAAAATTAAAAGCTTTTCGTTTTACGCCTTGCTCTCAATTTTGTGTAAGTTGTCCGCTGACAATATGAGCCTGCACGAGTGGGAGAAACTTAGCTAAGTTGGACCTGCGTGGTGTATGTGTATAGCTGCATGCCGTGATGGAGTTATATATCTTTGAACATAATACAGAAGCCAGTTGACACTGATTGATTCGAGATTCTACCGACTCAATTAGTTGGTCTCCATATGAGCAATTAAAATTTTCATTACAAAATCTTCAATGCCATTTCATTAAGGTAAGTCGTAATTTGGCTTAATTGTATTTTAATTTGATGCGCATACGGAAAGGGCATAAAATTATAGGCCTTGGTTTCTGGCTTCTTTTCCGTATTTTTCACAGCCTTCGTAAGGGATGAATTTTTTTATTTTACACTACATGCACTACAATATAATCTATTATATGATATTGACCTTGCCTCAGAGCCGTGAAATTGGTTCAGGATTTCTCAGCATTTAAATATCAGCTCACTCAATAATTATCATTCTTAACACGCAGGATAAATTTAATATTTTTAACGTATATTTCAGAAACAATAATTTTATATATACTCATTGAAATATATAGCAATAGAACTTGAGCAATACAAATGTTACCAAAACCACAAATTCACGGAACCATGACGTTCGGTGATGTATTTCTTTTCGTGTATCTTGTTTTGTTTTTGTTTTTTTAACAAAAACTCAACTTATAAGCATCAATTTCTTCTCACTTTAATTTAGGTGAATATTGTCCATATTTTTTCAGTTCATAAGAACTTTTAAATAAACACCCAAATCACTGGCCGATCACTTAATCTTATCAACATGTGTTTGATATTTTTACAGTGCCCGAGTGTACGATTTATCTCGGTGACATATATATCAATTAAAATTATATCAAAATTAGAGCTAGCATACTCATGTTTAAGAAATAATAGAGCTATATACCTTTTTTCAACAAGCGAAAAGGAATTCCATTATTTATTGCATGTTCTGGCCCGCAGTATTCTGCATCCGTTTTAGCAAAAAGTGTGAAAAACAAAACGGTACGAAATTTTACGAACGAGAAATCTCTTTGATTGAAACGCTTCATTTTCGGCGACACGCATACTTGATAGTAAACCTCTTTTGACGGAAGCGACTCTATTTTTTAAATATATATATATCGGTACTTTTTTAATTTATTAACTTTTTTGATTAGCTTATTGATTTTCGTGATTTTAAATTAACATTATACAATAATGACACACAACCTAACACAGGTTTAAACAGATTGATGAATGCATGTACAGATATAAGCAAAAAAACCCGGCTTTCCCTAGAAATGATTTGAAATTAAGCTCTTATGTTGATTATCATTATACAGATTTTTAAACAATATGGCGAGAATTTTGCATTTTTGAATGCGATGGCGTTGATTGCTTAATTTTGCCAAAATTTGCAATTAAATCCTGATGAAAGTCTCTTAAAGTATTTTGATGTTACTCGGTAGATTTTAATATCCTGAAATTGCTTGATCGACATGTATAATATTGCTTGAGGGACGTCATCGCAGTTTTGACAAAAGCACTCGATCTATATTATTATAGTAAAGTTAATTACGTTTGGTATTTTCATTTTTCTACATAAAAAAGTGTCTATTTAACAATGAGACAACGAAACACTGAAGTTGTTCATGAGTGCATACAGTGTGACATATATAGCAGCATATATATAGCTGATCCTGGGTTAGTCAGAATGAAATAAACAGATATCGATTAACACTAAATCAATTACTATACTCTAATTCCTTACTTAAACTAGTACTGTGATGTTTCATACTGTATATATAAGAATATTCTTTACCTGAAACCAATAAAATTCAAATCAGAGGCTTATAAGAAGATTGATTGAAGGTAAAGGCCTAGGGATTTGCACAGTAGGCATGCATTCATGCAGTGGCGTGAATGGAAGGATAATGGACCTCTTTTGCATAATAGACCAACTTTTGATTCAGGCAGCAAAAAGGAAATTTCCTAAAAGTGTATACTAAACTTAGAAAAAATGCCAAGTTTGGCTGCGAAATGTTGTAAAGTATGCATGGAAAATATAGCCATGTGAAGTTGGCAATATCGTACACTTTTTAACTACGGCGGGAAATGTGTAATTAAATTAGTTACACGCTCCCGGCCGTAATAAATATATACAAAATTGCCAGCTTCGCAAGTGTATATTTTCCATACTTCACAACATTTTCCAGCCAAACTTCGCAATTATTTTAAATAAGGTATGCTCTTTTTAGCTGTACCTGTGCTTCTTTGTACCTGTACCTGTACCTCCTTCTTGTTATCTAAATCATAAGCTGGTCAATTATACAAAAGGTCCATTTTTAATATTAATATATTCATGCAGTTCTGTCCCACGGATTTCTTTTGTAAGTGCGATAGCTCACAATGGAATCCGTCGGTCAAAAGTAAATAATTATTATAATTTATGAATAATTGAAATTTTCGTTCTAGTTGCGCCCCTGTGCGTAGGTGTTTCTTACGTTTTTGGGTAAATGTTACTGAATAGCGATGTCGTTGGTCATGTTTTGCAAAGAATTCGTTGAACGTCAAGTATCAAAACCTGTAAAAACAGCGCCAATTCAACAGGAGGCTACCTCAAATTACCTTGAATTTTTTTATTTGATGTAAGCCTTTCGATGTAAACTATTTTGGTACCCATATCTCTCAAATTAAATTATGCTTCTATGAAAATTTCGCGTGGCGTTACCCCAACCAATGTTGAAAAACCTAGGTATAATTTAGATGTCTTAAGGTTTTTAATTGTTTATATTAATCAGGTTACGTCTCCAAAAAGTAAAAAAACATATTTCCTGTACGAGGATGGATAC